TAACTCATGGGCCTAAATTTCAAATTGAACCAGTAATATCGGCTTTCTTTGGAAACCATCGGTTTTTTAACTGTTGATTGGTTCGACTCATCGGTTTTTTAATTTTTTTACTATAAATATATATACTAATTGATTCAGTAAACCATCGGTTTTTATATTGGTTACCCAAAGCCAAAATGGTATCTTCGGTTTTCAAAAATACCAAATTGAATTTGGTTAACGAGAATTTTCAGTTTGGTCTCATTGATTCGGTTCGGTTTTTCTTTCTCACCCTACCATCAAGAACTGATGAAGCTTCTCTTTTTTCACGTTCTTGCATGAACTGCTTCGATGCTGCACATGTACAAGCTCTACAAGTGCGTGCATTCAGGAGTTACCGAGAGAGTGCTCAATTCATTCAAGAGTTCTTTAAGTTTGGTAAAATAAATCTTCTTGCTACAAGAGTGCTAAATCACGTTTGAGCTAATGAATAGGCACACTCCCTTGAATGAATCATTCCTCTAACTCTCTTCAAATATCATATGCGGTGTCGATAAACGCAACATTATAATGGAGTTTCTTAGCCAAAGAATTGAGCAACCAAACAACTACCATGGAGGTTGTACGAGTGATCCATCCATCAACAAAATAGAAATTTTTCTCAGTTGTAAAGTACACTTTTCATTGATTGTTGCTAGGTTGAAAAGTTTTCTCCATTCAACAGATAGGAGGTCAAAACTACTCCAAGATTGTCTGAAGGATGGAGGACATATGGAGATCTTGAATATGAGTCCAGGTTATCCATGAGAGTAGCAACGAAAATGAAAAAACCAAGAAAAAATGTAGAATAGAGATCAAGATTGAAAAACAGGAATGGAGATTGGTATCCAGCTCTGGCACCATGTAAAATGGTAACAGAGAAAGGCGAAAAAAGCTTGTTGAATGCATTAATGTTATATATATGAGATCTGACATGGTATTCCAAAATCTTCGTATAACTAATTTTAGTTACTCTCCTAACACTCGATAAAGGAAAAGAATTTGCTTAAAGTTCAACCCGCAGCTAAAGGCATCAAGTGCCTAGAAATGCAACCCGTTATCTTTCTGTTAGATTCCTTGACATGGTTGTGTCCTACCATGACTGAGCACGAGTCGAGTGGATTAAAATCTGAAATCATAGTAAAAAATATTTTGGGTTGTTCATGAAATGAACCAAACCGACCAAACCAATCAAACAAATATGGCTCGAAACAATTTGAACGGTTTTTAAATGTTAATGATCAGTTTCGGTTCAAGAAAACATAAAACCTGAGCAACCAGATTGGTGTTGGTTTATAAGTGTACAAACCAACAAAAAACGAACCGACCCACCTTCAATGCTGTAAATATAAATAATATCTCTTCTTGTTAAAGAAACTAGCATTGGAAATAGTTTATCTTTAGTTGGAGAATTAAATGAAAAAGGTATAATGATTGAATGCTGTACATTTTACTTTTTAGACTCTAGGATCTAGGCTCTAGGCTCTAGCCTCTCTTCGATGAATTTTAACTAGGCACTAAATCCCCTTTAAATGGGCTTCCACCAATCGAGAAATGCACAATATGGCAATAGGGCTAAACCATAATAGTTTATGATAATAAATCCAAACCTAAAATGCACAATACGCATATAGGAATTATGACAGCTACCACCACTCGAGAAATTGACTAAACCGAGAAATCTACGTTTGCTTTAGTTTTTAGGCTATCTCAGTCGATTTCGAGTGACGGAAGTATGAACCTGAGGGATGTTGGTTTGGTTGGATACATTATATACAATTGAATCGAACTGATTCATGTACAACCAACCCTAGATATAGTGAATTAGGGGAAAAATCCATTTGCAAAACTCCATGTGCTAATAACTCGGTCCCATAACTCCATAGGCATCAATGAAGCTTGCACATAAAACACTCAGACCAGAGATGTTGAACTCACAACCAAATGCAAGGTTTTTCAACCGAGCAACTCTTTCAGAGATCATGTTCAACGTCACCATCTCTCTTGCAAAAAGGCCACCTATTCTAGACCCCAATGTAATAGTAGTTGTAGCAGTAAGTATTGGGGTGGCGAGTATGGTTATAGGGCAGGTGTTTTAGTAGATGAGAGACAGGTTGGCATGTTGAGTCTTAACATTGAATTAGAGTAAATGTGGTTGAATGCCGAGCCTAGAGGATGTTTGCTACATTTCCAACAAGTAGAGTACTTGACCTAGATGAGACACTTCGATTACCTGGACTCACTTAAATAGTGGCATGTTTTGAAATTTAAAAAAAAATAATAATAATAATTAAGGGCAAAAGAGTCTTTTATGCAATTTAATGGCAAGACTTAATGAAACTCAAATTGTAAGTTTTTGAATTTCAAGGGTCTTTAAGTATTTATTTGTCACATAGTTGAGAGTATATTAATACTTTATTATTTTAGGGTAAACTATAAAGATTCTCTTGTATCATATTCATGGGGTTACTAATAAGCCCCAAAACTTTCATCTACAACAAATACCCCTTTGGGCATTAAATTAGATGACAAAATGCATTGAATTACCAAAATGCCCATTAAACTTTTGTCATTTTCTTTTCCTTACCCCTTTTCTTAAACCCTAATTGACCAAAAATACCTCCATTTTATCCAAATGAAATCAGCTAAAATAATAAGAAACATGTCACAACAAAGAAAAAAATTCTTTAAATTTTTAATTCATTTCACTAACATGAACGTCTCTCTCCATCTTAAAATATAAAAACTATTCACTCATTTCTCTAATAAATCAAGAAAAAGCAACATCTACCATTTCATTTGAATATTGAATCTAACCAAAAATTGGATTTTGATGTTATATTTAGAAATTAATCGAATCATAAATTGTTCAAATAAATAAGAAAATGAATAGTTTAAGGATTTAGAAATTTTTAACAGTTGAATGAGATTTTTTTTTTTTGAAGTTAACTGAGGAAACTCTAATGGAAGGGTATTTGTTGCAAAGTTTAGATTTCTTACAAAATAAAAATTCAAGGGCTCTTTGTCACAAGGGTATTTGTTACTAACTATGCAAGGGGGTCTTTGTAATTTATCCCTTGATTTATTTCAGGTGGGTTATCAAGGTAGGGGTGGCAATTTCTACCCTACTCGATGGGCACCTGCCCCTGCCCCTACCCACCCTGAAGGGGTGGGATTTTTTGCTTGAAGGATGGGTTTTGGGGTAGGAATCAATTTTGGGATTCTACAATTTGTAGGGTATGGTATTAGGCTAAATCTAGCCCACATATTGTTGAAAAGCATATTAACTTTATGTATTAGGTGTTAAATTTAATAATACTTTAAATTTTATGGGAAGGATAATTGATAATTGGGAAAATTCCCAATTAACCCTGTACTTTGGACCTAGTGACACTTTGGTCCCCGAACTTTAAAACACAACAATCCAGTACTTGAACTTTCAAAATGTGCTAGTCCAATACCTGCTATTAAATAACTGTTAACCAACCATTTAAGTGGCATTTGAAAAGATACAAATGCCCTTCAAATGTCATCTAATTTTTTTTTATCAACCATCCAAACATTGACAAAAAATGAACAATCCCAAATCCTTGCCTCTTCTTCTATTCAAGAAAGTTGGGGTCACCAAAATGCCCATTTGACGTGACTCCAACTTTCTTGATAGAAGAGGCAAGGATTTATGACTGTTCATTTTTTGTCAACATGTAGATGGTTGTTAAAGAAAATTAGATGAAACTCGGGGGGTATCTATGTCTTTTCAAATGTCACTTAGCGAATGGTTAACGACAAATATTATATTGTCACATTTTGAAAGTTTAGGTACTAAATTGTCGCATTTTAAAGTTCAGGGACCAAAGTAGCACTAGGCCCAAAGTACAGGATACTAATTGAGAATTTTCCCTTGATAATTTATATGTTTTTTTTATATGTTTTAATCAAATAATTGGAAATTTTATTATTTTGTTTGTGATATTTTACTTATTTATTCCTTATATATAAAATTTTACTTTATGCCTCGAACTTTGAAGGTAGTGTCAAATTAATACTCAATCTTTCAAATATATTGCTACAATACCCAAACTTCAAAATTGTTAAGTTGGTCCCTACCATTAACCGGGAGTCAATTATTTGATATGTGATGACATGTACAACTTGAAATTTTTTAAAATGTCAAGGCTAACTTTGAAGACACTATTTATTGTACACAAAACCGGTTGAGGTGTAAACCGTTGCTGTTTTTTGGTTTTTTAATTAATGTCCGAGGTGTAAAATGTTGGAGGTTCTCCCTCAAAGCGAAACTTGCGAAAGAAGAAAAACTCAAAAACCTATTGAACTATAGGCGATCCAAGACCAGGCCATGGACCAAAATCTGAGTTCTAATCCTCAGGCACAAGAATGGGAGATCAGGAACCGAGCTTTCTACCCTACCGAAGCAAGGAACGTGATGATGAGCGAGATAGAGGCTTGGGTTAACTTAAACCAGGCTTCTCTACCAAATGACCTCAAGTCGTTGCCTCGATCATAGCTATATCAGCGGTTTCTCTCCATTCACAAACTCGTTCGATGGTGTAATCAGGTTGAGAGATCGTTTCGTTTTTACTGGTCTGTCACCGGCGCCTGCAAATTCCATATCAGCATTTGAAATTCAGATTTCACACATATATTCATAGCCTCATAGTAGAGAGAGAGAGAGAATTGATACCTGGATTCAGGGTGGGATCTCGTCCAATACAGGGGAGTACTAGAACCCCATACAATTGAATGCTCATCGAGTGCAATCATAAAGCATTTCTTTCCACTGCATCTTTCCAATGCGAAGCTCTATTCCAAATAAATTTCAGTTTGAATTATTGGAATTAGAAAGAGGAAAGCAATCAGAAGCTCGCGTGTTCTCCACACGGTGCTAATCTAGTCGATACGCAAAATCAACCAACGACAAAGAAGCGAAAAATTTTCAGGTGGCATGGTAATTGGTATTCACCATGGAAAGGAGAAGTCGAAAAGGTGTTTACCTCCTTGCCGTCGTCAATGAGGATGGGGTGATTGCGAAGGTGAAAATAGAGGTCTTCTTCGACGGGAAATTTACTTGCCGCCGATCGAAACTCCGATGAGACCACCAATGATCGGCACGCATCCTATGGAGACGTGGGCTAAATGGGTTTTCGAAATGCAACCCTCCTGCAAGGCGTAGAAACTCATTGTTGTGCTGCTACTCCCTTCTTCCATTCTACTTTCTCTCTCCTCGTCTTCTGAGTTTTAATTGTCCGTCATTTGTTGGCTCTGTATATAGGATAACAGAGGAATTGGAGGCAAAGGCTTTGTACTCGGTATTGGGAATGACTTGTTCTGCTTGCACCGGTTCTTGGTATTGGAGATGATGTGGTTGATGTTCTCAACAACAAAGTCATGTTTTCCCGAAAAAACAAAATAATATATCAATCATAAAAAAAATTAAACGGAGAAGTACGGACAGGCTCGATGCAAATTTCTAATTTTCACTATAAATCTATAAATATTGTATGCACATTGTAGGGGATGTTTAGAATTGATGAGGGCGAATTTGACCCCCCAATGACATTGTGACACATGTCATATTGGAATAAGTAGGTGCCATCCGAAACTACTTAGGTAATAACTTGCCTTATCCAAGATGATGGTGTCCCAGTTGGCGACCTGGCACAGGCGCCGACCTGGTGACCTACGAGACGTGCTCGCCAATAAATTTAACATACATATCCCAACACTCCCACGATCCTTGGAAGTTGGCTCACGTACCAAATGATCCGGAGGGTGGTCAACGTGCATGACATTTGCCTTCGAGAATCTCAGACCACTTAGGCGACCTCTCGGAAATCTCGGATACGGTGCATGAAGCCCACGCCAGACAATGCCTATGTAAAGGCACCAACCCCAATGGCATGGAGGGGGGGCAAGTAAGCATATTCTAACTCTCATACTTTATGATTTTTAGCTCGCAGTCTACTATGAGAGTACTGACTTAAGCATCGGAGCGACCTCGCTGGGTTAGCCACCCCGGGTTCTCAAACATTGATTCCTTGTAGGGTCTCTAAAGAATTACGAAGCTCAACAATCAATCCAGCCCGGCGGTTCAGTCAACTCGGCACCGAGCCTGCCCCTAGCTCGGCCTGGTCAGCTCGGCATCCAGGTCCTCATCCAGCAAAAGTTCTCCACTTCGGCCTCTGAGACATCGGCCACTTGGAAGCAAACCAAATGACGAGGTACTTAGCAAAAAATTGATTCATCAATTGGCGTCGTCTGGGGGAAACACTACAAAAAGCTAAGTTCTCATCTTCTGAAAGGCTAAGTCCTCTTTTTCCAGAAAGCTAAATTCTCACCTTTTAGAAACTAAAGCTCTCACTTTCTAATTTCCATTTTTTATGAACTCAAAGACTAAGCAGGAAGTTGATGGCCAACAGACCAAGCAGCTCTGTTGACTTTATTTCAACTCGGATAAAGCCTTATCAGTCCTCTTCGCTAGGAACCCTCTACAAGATGAGCTCTTCGTGGCTCCCGCGAGAATTGGCAGCCAACGGACTGCATGGACACCCTTGCCGGTCGAGCCTTCGAGGGCTCCTACATGGGCTGGTGACCTAAAGTCAGTAGTGTTGCCCCCGTAGGTTGAGCTCCCAGTAGCTTTTTGTAGGAGTGGGTGACCAGCGTCACTAACGAGTCTGATGCAGCGCAACCGTAACTCTAAAGTGCCGAGCTGATAAAAGACCTCAGCACCACATAAGACCCAGTTGCCTCTTCGGCATGGGAAAAATCAAGGGTAAGGAGAGTGGATTACGAGTCGCTCCCATAGCCCAAGGGCTAAAGTACCGAGTTGATAAAAGATCTCGGCACCACATAAGATCCAGTCGCCTCTTCGGCATGGGAAAAATCAAGGGTAAGGAGAGTGGACTGCGAGTCGCTCCCAGAGCCCAAAGCTGCAAACATTTGGACTCTTCCGACCTGAGAAGCAAATTGGATCAACGCTTATGAGCTCATCGAATTAGTCATTCAAGGCCAAAAGGAGCAATCTACTCCCTTCGCCGAGTTACTTTCAGCTCGGGAGTGGGGGGCAAATGATGAGGGCGGATTTGGCCCTCCAATGACATTGTGACACATGGCATCTCGAAACAACTAGGTGACATCCGGAACCACTTAGGCAACAACTTGCCTTAGCCAAGATGATGGTGTCCCAGTTGTCGACCTGGCACAGGCGCCGAACTGGTGACCTGGCACAGGCACCAAACTGGCAGCCTGGCACAAGCGCCGACCTGGTGGCCTGGCATAGGCGCCGAATTGGTGGCCTGGCATAGGCGCCGAACTGGCGACCTGGCACAGGCGCTGAACTAGCAGCCTGGCACAGGCGCCGACCTGGCGGCCTGGCACCTGCGAGACGTGCTCGCCGACAAATTCAGCATGCATATCCCAACACTCCCACGATCCTTGGAAGTTGGCTCACGTACCGAACGATCTGGAGGGTGGTCAACGTGCATTGCGGTTGCCTTCGGGAATCTCAGACCACTTAAGCGACCTCTCAGAAATCTCAGATACGGTGCGTGAAGCCCACGCCAGACAATGCCTATATAAAGGCACCAACCCCAATGGCATGGACGAGGGGCAAGTAAGCATATTCTAGGTCTCATACTTTATGATTTTTAGCTCACAGTCTACTATGAGAGTACTGACTTAAGCATCGAAGCGACCTCGCTAGGTTAGCCACCTCGGGTCCTCTGACATTGATTTCTTGCAGGTCTCTAAAGAATTATGAAGCTCAACAATCAATCCAGCCCAACGGTTCAGTCAACTCGACACCTAGCCTACCCCCAACTTGACCTGGTCAGCTCGGCATCCAGGTCCTCATCTAGCAAAAGTTCTCCACTTCGGCTTCTGAATCATCGGCCACATGGAAGCAAACCAAATGATGAGGTACTTAGCCAAAAATTGATTCATCAAGAACTGTGGCCATTTTTCAAAAAAACGGTGCCACGTTGATCCATATAGGCATTTCAACAAATGCCCATATATATGAATGTTTGGTTTAGGCATTTATTGAAAAATCGGGCGTGTTTTGTAAATTTGGCGTTTTATGCATCGGTGAATCGTTTCCCCCAACAGTTGACTGATGTGTATCCTATGTGGTGTTTATTTGTCTTACATACATGAAAAACGGTGATGAGAATCACCTTACCAAATAGCATAGTGTTGCTCACTGCCTACGTGGTAGAAGCGTTTTTTTGTAAAAAACGGCTCTTGGAAGCATGGGCATTTTTTCTTGAAAATCGGTCCCAAAAAATGCCCACGCCTCCAAATACATCTTATGCACCAACACCCAGCTACCCGCCCATGAATTGGCATCAATTCCAAGCTAGCACCTACCCCAATAGTATTTTGGGCCTATAAATTTTGACTCTAGGATGAACCATCATTTTTGAAAAAGTACAAACAAGCCCAATACAGATTTATGATTTTCGGCTGAGCTAAACCATCATTTTCCCAAAATTAAATAATAGGTGAAGGGCATTTTTTATCTTTTTAATGATACTTACGTCAGTTAACCATTTCTGTGCCCCACAACGTCCCACAATACATCCTATCGTGTATTGGGAACATCTCCCGATGATAATATCATTATCTTTGGTAATCATTGGGAGATGTTCCCAGTGTACGGTGAGGATGTGTTGTGGGAGGTTGTGGGGCGCCCCTAGTGGGGCGTAGATGTGAATTCCAATTTTAGACCAATTTGACGGCCAATCTTATTTTGGTTTCAGCCGCCGGTCTGACTTGAGCACGCGACGCCTATCTTTTGTAAATTCAGCGAGTCGAGTCAATTTTATTTTGGTTTCAGCCAAGTGTGGGCGGTATGGCTATATTTATAAGGGTAAATTACAAAGACCCCCTGTATTATGGGGTCTGTGACAAAGACCCCTATACTTTGTTTTGCAACAAAGAAACCCTTATACTATGACCATAAGACAAAGACCCCCCTTGACCATTAAGCCAGATGACGGAATGTGTTAAATTACCAAAATACCTTACAATTTTTTCTATTTTCTTTTTTTGCCATTTTTCTCTTAAAACCTATTATTTTCCCTTTCTTCTCTTCTTTTCCCCTGTCCTCTCTCATTCTTTCTCTCTCCCAACTCTCCAAAATGAAAGGACAGCGAATATGTCATTGAAGTAGGACTATGATCACCACCACCATCACAAGTGGAAGAAGCTATTTTTCCGATGGAGTATTCGTCGTGATTTCATATTCATTATTGTAATTCTGTTTGCCATCTTCCTTGTATGGGCAATCCTCCGACCCTCCAAGTCCCAGTTCACACTGCAAGACACTATAGTGTACTAGTTTAACATCTCAGATGGAAACTTCCTCACCTCAAACTTTTAGGTCACAGTCTTGGTCGAGGAATCCCAACGACAAGATCGGGATCTACCACGATAAGCTCAATGTGTACGCGACGTACAGTAATCAGTAGATCACCCTCCTAGATTGCCACCCACCTACTAGGGTCACAAAGACATCAACGTCTGGTCTCCGTTCGTCTACGACATGTGTATGCCAATTGTGCCTTACCTCGCCGACGTTGGGTTCCCAAGAGATGACACTCGAGATATCTCATCTGGCACAATGGTTTGATTCTCGTTCCACGATGATGAACTGTCAAATCGGCCATCACCATCAGTTCCACTGGCCACCACTAGCGGACCTTTCCACCTCCACCACTGCTTCCCCCCACGAAGGTGATCTTACCGGCTGAAGACTAAACAGAAAACGTCTTAAATTGTCGAACCATCAAACTTGGCGCGCGAAGATCCCGATGCCTTTGTTGGTGCTGCAACGGCGGTGTTGTGACCCATTGAGTACACAGTGAAGTTGGCTAGAAGGATCATGACATAGACCATGAGATTTGGCGTGTGTGAGAACACCTGTTGAAAGAGCCACACAAATGAAGCGTGCATCTCTTTCTGCACTCGGTCCAAAATCCCTTGCAGATCTTCGTAGAAAAAGATCTGTTGCATCTGCAAGGCATAACTGTGAAGCTTTCGGATGATGAATACCATGAAGAGAAGGCTTCACGGAGCAATAAGCAGATTCACCAGCTTCTTTATGTGTTATTGGAGCCTAGATCTTAGTGTGTATAGAATGTTTGCTAGGCAAATATGCCTTATTGGAGCTTAGAGTGCTTCTTGAAACTTCTTTCTCACACATTTCAACTAAGCAGAATATCACAAATAAGAGGGAGTATTATTCAGAGCTAAGCATCTTCTTAGTGATTGTATAGGAGGACACTATACCCTTGAAGTGGTTGATATTACCTTTTCCCTCTCCTATTTTATTTTATTTTATCAAACTTTTTAATGTTATTATTGTGGGGGGTCATAACATCCAAAAATTACAGGTTGACATGTTCCATCAATCTAGGATTCTGGGGTATTGATTGGGCTCTTAGCAAGTAGTATTATGAGCCTACCCCATGTTTTAGTCAACTGCCAGAAAGAGCTACCTGAAACAAAGTGAAAGCCATTAAAGAAAGGGCTACTTGGAGTAAATTGACAGCCAGCAGACAGAAAATTGCCACTAGAGAGAAAGCCATTCAGGGAAAGGGCTGCTTGCTGCTGCAATGAAAGCTTCCCAAGGTGAGAACTCCCAAGATGTTGGCTGTGAATCCTGGTGGTACGTTATGGACCAGATTATAAAGATCATGATTTGACAAGTTCCATCAGTACTAGGGTCTAGGGCTTCATCTATATTGGTTGGGTTCTTATAGGGATGTTTGGTGCCTTGGGGTTGCTTTCCCATCTCGGGGTTGTTGGATTTTAATCTCATAAGAGATTAAATCCAATGGGTTTGATTGGTCAATTACATGAATAATTGCATCTGCACACTTGATTGGAAAATCAGTTTTTCTTTTACAAAACCCAGTTTTGAACTTGTCCCACATTGAAAAATTATAAGTTTTGTTTTTAGTATTTCAATAGGAGCTGATTTACACTCCTTAGAATTAGTAGAGGAGAGTATGGGGATTCGATACTGTGCAACGCGCGTGCACGCGTGTGCGCGTGTGTGTGCGGTGCAATAAGGTGCTTTAGAGGCGCACTTTGCTCGCACCCGCGTGGCTCGCGATGGGCGGCTCTGGTTTTGGTGCGTTGATGATCGTTGATCACCATTGATGAGATCAACGGTCACGATTCGATCGGGTGTGATTAAGAGGCACAATTCAAAGTTAACAGTCACCAACTATTAACTACTTTTTAAATAGTTTCAAGGTGCCTTCTCTAAACTAGCACCTACATTTTCTTCATACCTCTTCACAAATTATTTAAGGAGCATGAATCAGACTCCAAAACACACAATTTTCGATATTCACTCTCTCTCTCTCTCTCAGTCCGGTCTGCTACAGTCTCACAGAAGGTTTCTTTGGAGACTCTTCAACTTTGTTGGTTGCAGATTCTCGCCCAAGGCTCTGTTGTATCCTGGGAACAAATTTGCCTGTAACCCAACAGCAAACTCAGTAAAACTGAGTGGGGGCAAATAACGTTCTAAAGACAGTGTCTTCAGACGCGGCTCAGAGCTTCTCCTCCAAAATTACAGTGACCCCATCTTCTCCAACAACATTAGGATCTTCTCACCAATGGTTGAGAATCATGTTTGGTAGATCTTTACAACTTGTAATTAGAACAGACATGGTGATTGAAGAAACTTAATTTTGATGTTTCTTCAAACAAACATGTGTTCTTGTTTTACTTCTCCTATGTGGTGTATAGTGGCATTTATGATTTGTTACATTGAATTGCTTTTACCAAATAGATGAAATATCATTAAGAGGTCTAGACTAATACAAATTTGTGAAAGGGGATTTATGGGGTTGTTGTGCTTGTGTCCATATCGATCATAGTTTTGGATTCTCTAACTGTTTTGTTGACTCTTGATGTGTTTCATGCCTTATCAATTCCTAATATATTACATGTTCTTGTTTGAAATCAATCACATGACCTAATTGGAAATCTAAATACTAGATGCTCCCTCCAAAAAAGAAAAGAAACTAACAGTGTGTCTTAAACAATTTGTGGAGATGTACGAGAGCTGCTGTGTGCTGGACAATTTGAAAAGAAAGAAATCAAAGACTATTTGCAGAAAAGGAAAGAAATAGGGAAGCCCTCATTGAAGCAATTACAACCAGGGTGATCCATTGGGCAACGACTCTGAAAGTTTTTGAAGGAGTTTCTGCTGCTGATCTGATGAGAAAGTGGGGGGAAGTGGCTGACTCTATAGTCTATTCCTTTGAAAACTGTAATTAAACCATCCTCAACTCCACCATCTAATGGATTTCTCAAATTGAATTTTGATGGTAGTAGTGAGGGCAATCCTGGACCTTCTGGCATTGGGAGTGCTTTCAGAGATGAGGAAGGCACTATTACGGCTATATTTTCTGGCCCCATCGGTGTTGATGACTCTTTGAGAGCTGAAGTCCTTGCTGTGATGGAAGGAATTCAGAAAGCCAAGGAGTTAAATAATTCCAAGTTAATAATCGAAGGGGATTCAAAGCTTGCTATTTGTTGGCTCCAAAAGGAGGAGGAGATGGAACGGTGGGAGTATATAAACGAAGAAAGGGAAGTTCAGAGATATGGCTCAAGGAATGGAAATTTAGTTTAACTGGACTAAGAGAGATGGTAATAGCTTGGCTGATGTTTTGGATAAGCAAGGGGTGAGAAGAAATGACTTATTCTGGGCTATTTTGTAATGTTTTTTCTTTTTCGGGGTTGGGAGCTAAGAGAGTTTATCTCCCCTCCCCTCCTTGTACTTGATTAATTTTTCTTAATGAAATCCTTTCAGTTCTTGATCAAAAATAAAATAAAATAAAATAAACAAGCAACTTATCTAAATTTTACCAAAATTTCAGCACATCGTTTAATTGGAAAAACAGATTTTACATAAAGGAAGTACTACAAATCATCACTATATCCAATCAAGTCATTTTAAATCTCAAATCTTACCTGAAAGGAAAAAAAAGGGTGGAACACACTTGTAGAAATATGACAGACTTGTCTCCCTTCTCTTGGAAATCATCTGCTTCCTCTCTTCTTCCCCTAAATTTATTGTAAAGGCTGTGTTTGGAATTAGTTATGATTTATGGACACAGACACAAGTTCTGGACACAGCTAGCTCCATTTACGCTAACACATGCATATATGTAAGTTGTATGTATGCATGTATACATATTATTTCCTTGTTTTAACATTGTTTGTAAACAAGCCCTTATTGACAAGTAACAATGAATATTTCATTCATTCTAAAAGAAGAGCTTGCATCCCAAAAGGCTGGATAACAGAATGGCAAATTATAGAATATATGCACCACCTCTATTATCAAACCCAACACTAAATATAATACAATATTGCAAGCCCCTGGCCCTGGTTCTCCCCATAGGTACCTGTCACTAATAATCCCTGCTTTTTAGCTATTTTTATTTTTGGTTACTTTTTTGTTAGGTTCTTTGTTATGGGGCTGCGTGATTTCTGATTTATGTCAATTGTTAATTTTCTGCTCACTTCGAAGTCTTGCAATTCCCCAATATCAGTATTGCAGGGAAGGCAAACTTGGAGAAATCAGACTTAGAACCAGCTTTGAAAGCTCTCAAGGACAGGCTCATGACCAAGAACGTGGTATGTTAATCTGTCCAATATTTAAATTTCCCTTTGGTTCTACCAAGCCCACATACAGGTTTCCTGATTGTAATATTCACAGGCTGAGGAAATAGCTGAGAAGCTTTGTGAATCAGTAGCAATGAGCCTTGAAGGTAAAAAGCAGGTTTCGTTTACAAGGATATCTTCAACTGTTCAGGTCTGTGACCTTTAATTCTTTCGTCTATAATAACTTTAGTCACTTTTTTCCTGACTCCGTTGTGTTTCTATCCTCTACTTGGAAAAGCTTAGTTATTTAGTGTGTTTTACTTTTGATAACCGCAGACAGCAATGGAAGAGGCTTTGGTTCGTATTTTGACTCCTAGACGCTCCATTGACATATTGAGGGATGTTCATGCTGCCAAAGAGCACGGAAAACCATATGTTGTCGTCTTTATTGGTGTCAATGGAGTTGGAAAATCCACCAATCTTGCAAAGGTTTTATGAGGCCATACCCCCTTCTCTCCATCTCTAAATTAATTTTTTAGAGATATATGTCTACTTTGATAAGTTTGTTCATTCTAATTAAATTAATGAACTTCCAAAATGCAGGTTGCATACTGGCTTTTGCAGCATAAGATCAACGTTATGATAGCAGCTTGATACATTCCGTTCTGGAGCTGTTGAGCAGCTTCGGACTCATGCCCGTCGGCTTCAGGTATGGTAGAGATTACACTGTTCAAACTATTTTCATGGTTTTAGGTCTTCTTTTAGAAGTTGTTTCATTGCTACGTGAGAGCTAGCAAACAATATATTTAGTACAAGTTGCATTTCTTCAGATTCCTATATTTGAGAAGGGCTATGAGAAAGATCCTGCTATTGTAGCTAAGGAAGCTATCCTGGAGGCTACCCGCAATGGTTCAGATGTGGTTCTTGTTGATACAGATGGTCGTATGCAGGTGAGTAATCAACTAGGAGTATCTCTTATATTCATAATGGAAGTTGATATTGTTGCCATGTATACCTAGTAAGTGTAGCATATAAATTATATACCCATAGATGTATGAATGCATTTTGGAATATGAGATGGAGAATCCATTGTTACAACTTTAGTCTTCTTTAGATGATCTGATGGATGAAAAATTGGCCATTGAAATGATCCTAACCAGATTATCTGTCCAATTATGGTGTATGTTGTATCACCACAGACAAATAAAAATAAATAAATACATAAAATTGTTTAGAGCTGTTCTATTCAATTACCCACATGTTCTTTGTCATTTCTGTCCATCCATATTTGTCGTATGATTGAGGGTTATCCCTTTATTTTTTTTTCCCTATAGTTTACTTTAGCAAATGCATCAGCTGAGTTTAATCTGTCATGAAACATAAAACTGGTTTCAGTTTATCTCTGGAGTTTGGCTTGTGCTGTGATGAGAATTATTTTTGTTCCTTTATTTTCTGACAAATGGTGTATAAAGATGCATTTTTTGCCTTTCAGGATAATGAACCATTGATGAGAGCACTGTCCAAGCTCATCTACCTCAATAATCCAGATTTGGTCTTGTTTGTTGGAGAAGCATTGGTTGGGAATGATGCTGTTGATCAACTATCAAAATTTAATCAGGTTATCTATTTGGGATGCTTGGCATTTGTGTTAAATGGGTTCTTATATACATCTCTTGGATAAAATTGATGGTTACTTGAGAAAATTCACCTTCCCACATGCAGAAACTGGCAGACCTTTCCACATCGCCAAATGCTAGGTTAATTGATGGAATCCTGCTCACGAAGTTTGACACCCTTGATGATAAGGTAGGCACCGGTTGCTTTTAGTATAATGATTAAAGTTGTATGTTTCCTATTGTCTATATATTACGATTGTGGAATTGTATCAAACAGGTTGGAGCTGCACTTTCCATGGTTTACATCTCTGGGGCACCGGTGATGTTTGTCGGCTGTGGTCAGTCCTACACAGACCTCAAGAAGCTTAATGTCAAATCCATTGTGAAGACCCTCCTCAAATAAGAACTTGGTCTCGTGCTCTATCTGTTCTCTTAAAGCCGTGCACTGCTATTTTTGTGAACTTTCACTCTTGCTTAATTGTGTTTATTCCCCAATGACCTCATTCTCTTGACATTGGAGGTGAATTTTCCATTTATAGTTGTAAATCGTTAAATTGAAGTTAATTGATTGATTTGTTTTAACATGGGTTGTTCTCTCTTCTGCTCCTCTACAAACATACGTAAGTTTATACATCATCATCCTCATCTAAGCCTTTGTCCCAACCATACGGGTCAGCTACATAAATCCTGTTTTGCAATTCTGTTCTGTTCTGTGTACCTCTTCTATTTCCTTCCCCTTGTAACAGATGCATACTCCTGGCTAAATCATTGTTATCAAATTGTTCAAGTGTTCTATTTTCATTTTTCTTAGTTTTATAAAGACGGGCTTGGGGTTCAAAAGAATCAAAACACCTTCCATCAACCGATGGGGTGTTTGGTACAGTGGTGTTACGTTGCCATTGTATTTGGATTGATCTATACAATTTTATGGAAAACAGATGTTGCCAATCATATATGTGAAAAACATCATTTTAACCAATAATTTGTATTTGTATTGATCAATTCAAAACATGTTCAACCCTTCAAAAGAAAAACTTCTCTTACAAATTTGTATTGATCAACCCAAAGTACAATGTCAACCTAACACCACTGTACCAAACACTCCCAAAATAAATACTCTTCCAACTTTGCAATCTTTATGCTGGTACTAAGGAACAAGAACGAGGCCTTTTTACCTGCTTGAATTTTTACTAGAGAAAAAAAACAAAAAATCTGAAGCCTTACGTCTCTACCCTCTCTTTTTATGGCAACATAGAGAACTTTTCATTAAAGAAGAGGATGGAATTTACAAGGAGAAAAACAAGTCAACAAAACTATTCTCCGGCTCTCCGCATGGAGATGCTTTATTCAGTTTAGATCCAGGAAGAGTTACAGACATGTAGGGCAGACCCTCTCGCCTGAATTTTTAACCCACCTCAATGGGAGTGGAACTGCTGTCGTTTGATGCCTTAGCAAGTCACATCAGAAAAAGGCAACCATGTGCCGGACCTCGTTGATGTACTAGACTTGTTCTGCATCACTCTGAAGTCTGATCTTTATGATGTTCTAATCTCCACCGATTCTTTGTGGATCCATGGGCTACACGACGGGGGTAAAGCCCATCCCCAAAGTCCAAACCCATAACCCCCCCACCCCAAACCCTGGTGCAGTTGGGATTCAAGACCAAGTCGATCCCAAGTCTACCGGCTTGGGATTAATAGCAAAGAATCAAATCTGTTAACGCCCTGTTTGTTTTTCGGTAAATATTCATCCGGGTAACTGTTTCTTTTATTCTTTACTCAGGTAAGTGCATTTACCCATGTAGCAAAGTTATTTATCCACCTGGAATGTGTATCACTTAATCAATGGATTTCTTAATCAATGGAACCAAAGTCCCATTAACCAACTTCCCCCCTCTTGAAATCCAAAAAACGAACAGACCCTAAGACTATGTTTGACTTAAAGGAAAAAGTGGGGAAAGGAAGGGAAACCTTTACAAACCTTGTATTGGTTTCCTTACCTTTTCCTTCAAACCAAACATAGCCTAAGGGGTCGTTTTTTACTATTTGCTTGCTTGCCTTGCGTAACAATGGGCAGTAGGTGCAATTCCAGCTAATTATATATATAATTAGATAGATAGATAGATTCTTCCTGAGCCAGCCGGGCTTCACACCTAGGCTGTAACCTGGGCCTGGGCTGGACCAGGCTTTGGGCTTATATCATTAAATACATTATATATAATATTATAATAATAGAAAAATCTATGATGCAGAAAAGATATGATATGGGAAGAGTTTTGATCAATCAAAACCCACCCATGAATTTTGATAAATAAACACCTGATTGGCTACCACATTTATGATACTAGTTGATTAGTCAAAAAAATTTCAGATATAATTTCCATATCATAGTCGAACCCTATAATAATTTATATTATATGATATAATGTATGTTATAATTTATACAATTAATATAAACTTAGGACTAAAAAAATTATACAAAATGCAAAATATTTTGCATGTATGAAATATAATATTGGCTGATGTTGCTACTAGTAGCTAAGTAGCCTACTCTTTTTCTTTTTATTCTTCTCAGGCTGCTGTGTCAACAATAACAATGTTAGGAGGGGTTTCTAGAACTCGGGCATGGCGCAATCTCAGAAATCTTCTGAAGCAATGTGATTGGTGATGGGACTGAACTCGTCGTCATTCCAAGAAAGTCATTCGTTCTCTTCTGTTTTAGTACAATCAAACGAAACAATTCTCTCACGTATTCACTTTCACAATATGCCAAACTTTTCGTTTCACAATGAATAATATTAAATGTGTGAATATGCTCACCCCATCTACCCATCTCTTACAGTGTCTTATCTGTTCCATCACCATTTCTATGCTTTGAACCAAACAACACACGAATCTTCCTTGTTTGCGACATGCCGATGGGCTGGGCCTGGGATTTGAAAGGTCCAATCGGTTGTCCACCTCAAGTTTCTACTCCATACTACAGTAAATTTACACTCCTAACCTTCTACATTAAAAGGAATTGCTTGCCTTGCTTGCAGCATCAGTGCATGACCTCCTCCACTGGGTTCATGCAGATTGTGAGATAAGCCTACAGATCCGTATCCATTTATGACTCAGGATTCATTGCAGATCGGATTCTAAAATGAATATCCATTCTCCATTAATATGTATTAATCCTCTAATATTTATTATTTTTTCCTTACTTTTATGTAAAATAGCTTTGACAGATAGTCTAGATATTTTTAATTGTTCATTTTTTCATTTTTTTTATCTGAGCCAACTGGTTGGAACTATTTGACCCGTAGCCGAATCACTAAAACAGCTCTTTGCCCGACCGAGTCTTTCAACATTAGATTGGATTCTCACTATCGAACTTGGGTTGAATTTATTTGGAATATGGATCGTTATGAGATCCCTTCACATTTCAGACCTGAATATTATATAGATGTAGATCAGATTTTGGATTAACCCGTTTCATTGTATATAAGGTGTTTAAAGGCCTGGTCGTAGATCTGTCAATGGGTTGGGTCTGGTTCGGATAGTCTGAAACTTATTTTGAAGTGGTTCTATGAATAGACCCAAAACCAAACTTTAATAAAATTGACAATAAATAGGAGTTTTTTTGGTAAAAGAAGTGTTTTTGCCAAAATTATCTTACATACTATCTATGAAATTTAACTTTATAGACATAGATATAATAAAAATTATATGTAACTGAACTCAAAGTGATAACTTTAGAAACATAACTAATTATAAAAAAAAAGGGATTTTATCGATTCCCCCATCTCATAAACTTTTATTGGTTTGTATAGTTTGGAATAGTGACATGACATATCGCACAACTGGGTGTATCATAGGTGGGGGTTTTGGTAAGTAAAGTGTTATGATCCATTTGTCCCATGTTAGTAATATGGGATGCTAATGTGAGGTATCCCGCATCGGTAGAATAGGATGCTGTTGTGGGGTATATATGTGCTTGGGTTCCCTCCCTCTAACAGCTAGCTTTTAGGGGTGAGTTCTCCTAAGGCACATAACATAAAGCTAGAAAATCAATAAAAATTTATGAGGTGGGGTAAAACATAAATTTCCTTAAAAAGTTATCCACTCCAAAAGATGTAGGATTCATATTAATTTTTGTAATTTAATTTCCTAATTTAAATAAAAGATAGTTGCAAAGGATTTTAAATTACAATTAAACTCAATTTAATTATTTAAAATACATAAAAGTTCAAATTAAATACATCTCTGAAATAAATGGTGAATTTCAAATAAAATAATATTATTAAAAACAAAAAATAAGTGTAATTGTTCTATACTTAATATGGGGTCATTCTCTAATAATAAATTAAAATAAAACTCTTAGATTAGAGAGCTTTTTCTACAAAAAAAAACAGCATCTTATTTTCTCAAGAAAGAGTATCTTAGAAGTGGTTACTCTCACTCTTAAACAAATAACTTCCTTAGAAAAAGTGAGAATAGTTAATTTCACTTTTGAAAAAAGTGCTAACTTTTAACTTTGCACATGAGTACCTATAAAAAAGATGGGGGGATCATATTAATCTTTGTAATTCAGTTTTCATAATTCAAATAAAATAGTCATTATAAAGACTTCTAAATTGCAATAAATAAAATGGTATTATTATAAAAAAAACAAACAAATGATATAGGTTTAGTTGTCCCATACATAATACTGGGGTAATTCTCTAGTAATAAATTAAAACAAATCCCTTAGACTAGAGAGCTTTTTCCCCAAACAAGTGGCATCTTATTTTCTCAAGAAAAAACATCTCAAATGGGGTTACTCCCACTCTTAAACAAAAGCCTTCACTCCTTAGAAAAAGTAAGAATACTTAATTCCACTTTAGAATAAAAGTTCTAACTTTGAAGTTTAAAGTCATGTCTATCCATAGAACAAAGTATTTAATCTAAAACTTTACACACGTGACTACCTATAAAAATGATGTCTCATTAATCTTTGTAATTCAATTTCATAACTTAAATGAAAGATTCATTATAAAGACTTAAAAATTACAATAAATAAAATGGTATTTGATGATAGGTGAAAGTGGTACACCACTCATTTGCTGCCACGTGGACATTTATAGCCACCTCGGACCACCTTGGTATCTAAGGTGGCAACACCTCGGAAAGTATTCATTAGTAGGACGGTTCATGCCAACCAGATGCACCCGAGCTCGGGTGAAGACAACTCAGGGGGACTAACCAAAGACATCGGTCATCACTTGGGAGCGTTTATGTGGCCTAGGCATCCGACGAGTTATCTGACCTCATGGAGACTAACCTATATGATTTATCCACCTTGCACCATTCAAGACATTTAATTGCCCTAGGATATTCAGAGGGCACGTTGCCCACGTAGAGATAGTTATAACATGAGTCTCCCTCATTTCTAGGGAAAACGGTGAGTGGTTGACTTAGTGGCCGTTCCTGAGTGTTCCCTTAGATTCTGGTGGTTGAGGCCTGTTACCTTCAAGTATGTCAGGGGCTTTTTGGCTGTTCCTAGAGGTCTATATAAGGGTAGCTTCTCACCCTCAAACAGTATGCTCTCATAAGCCTTCTAACTCTCACTCTACACCTCTCTACTCTCAGCTCGGTACTAATTTGATCGTATTTGATCGTCGAAGCCTCCTCACCTAGGTCTACAACTCAGGCTCTCTGACATTTGTCTTCTTCACAGATCCAAGCTACATCATTATTATTACCAAAAAAATAAAAAATAAAATAGTGTAGCTGTTTCTCGTACTTAGCACCGGATCATTCTCTAATTATTTTGGGTCTTAATTAATTGGTTTGGAACAACTAGAACTAATCTCAATCCGATTAATAATCGAGACATAAAACCATAAGTGGAATAATTTATTCAATTGGTTCAATCTCTCAAATAGACCCAACCCATTGACAACTATACCTTGTTATAGGTTTGTGGATCTTTTATCCATTATTGAGACTAGTTAAAAGATACTTTGCAATTTGTACATGTTTGGTGTGATAGGGAGAGGAGAGAGCGGAAGATGAATAGGATGAGGAGGGAGAAAAACGGATGGAGAAAATCAGTTGGTAGGTTCTATGGCTCATTGTGGTGGAGACATGGGATAATCTTGCTACCACTTACCTCATATCTCTTGAAACATAACATCCAAGATATTCCCAATGTGTGATTGAATGCTGTTTTCTCAAGTAACAGTGGACATGAATGGAGTTCTTGGCTCATGAAAAATTAAATTTGACTTAATTTAAACCAACTTTTGAATCGAGCTCGAGCTCAATATATAGGTTCATTTGTTAAATTGATTCAGAAGTGCATGAATATATATATATATATATATATATATATTAATTTTTGCATATATATTTTTAATTCTTATATATAAATAAGATTGGCTCATTATCGAATTCGAGCCAAATTGAATTTTGAGTTCATGTTTATAACTCGAATCGAGCTTGAACCCAAAATCGAACCTCGCTGCACTTGAATAACCAAATAGTGAGCTCAGTTTGAAGCCAACCTTTTTCTCAAGGTGTGTATACAATTTTTTCTTTCAACCTACTATTGCCACCAAGGTTAGCAGGTCAAGGGTATGGCCGTATGGGGATGGGCTACCCCTGTTGTGTTAACCCATTTAGGAAAAAAACGGAGAAAGAAGAAACTAGGAAAATGAATAATTAGATTTTTGTAATGGTCACCTGGACGTGAAGACATTACAAGTATGGGCAATTAAGTGATGAACATAAAAAAGGATCAGTGACTGCTCCCCCTCTAGAACCCTCTATATTGGCATTGGCATGATCAAGAATCAAAATATTTATATTTCCTGTACCCAAAATTAGGTATTGATGCATGTCAATAAAACCGACATTCTTTTAAGTTTAATTAATTTCACAAGTTTGAGAGAGAATATCCCAAAACTTTCAAAACAATTTCCCAACCCTTTGTGTATCGATGTATCCATGAGTCTCCAAACAAATAATATATCATATTTTAATCCTTGGACACTACTGATGACAATCAGAGGTTCTTTGTTTCCCTATGCAAAATATTCCATATGTGTGGCATATGATGCAATTTTAAATATCCAAATTTTATTAGAACAATGGAAATTATACGGAATGGTCAAGAATTAAGACAAGGAAGCAAACTCTCAAGTGGGTCCCACATTTAGGTGGATCCAGCTCTCCTGAGTCCTGGACATCAGATGCTTCACCCCTTAATAGGCTCCAATCCAAGCCTCCAACATCTTTACCGACCAACCGAAAACGCTAACGACGATGCCTCGTCAAGATTCAAGAAGCAAATTCCCCACATTCTTTCTCTTTGGCCACAAGCAGCAGTTACAGAGAACACATTATGATGGATGATCATGCCAGATCAGCTCCATCAACGGTGTTCAGATGACGCGCTTCACGAAACGACGTAGTCCAGATTGCACGTAAACCAACATTCAAGGTTTCACACCCATGTGACACATAACATAGTCGGACTCTACACAATAACATATAATATAATAAAATAAATAAATAAAGGTAATGTCGGATACCGGATTGTATAGAGAGAGAAAGAGAGAGAGAGAGAAGAACAAACGTGTGAAAATTACAACCGAAGGAGTGTATCGAATTCGAAACCCGAATTCTTGTCATTTGCAGAGACGAGACTCGAGAGCTTCAATTCTTGTTGTTGCAGACCACCTGAAGCTCTCCATTAATGGCGGACCTCAAAGAGCGCCTGCTCCCGCCGAGGCCCTCGTCGACAATGAACCTTAGAGAGACGACTTCGAGACCCTCCGCCTCCGGCCGCCCGCTTTTCCAAGGCATGGACTTTCTAGGGCTGAAGAAGCGCGGTCAGGGTCTCCGCTCATGGATTCGCGTTGACACCTCCGGGAACTCCCAGATTATCGAGGTCGATAAGTTTACTATGATGCGCCGCTGTGATCTCCCCGCCCGGGATCTTCGCCTCCTCGATCCTTTGTTCGTCTACCCGTCGACGATTCTTGGGAGGGAGAAGGCGATTGTTGTGAATCTTGAGCAGATTCGGTGTATAATCACGGCTGATGAAGTGTTGCTATTGAATTCACTTGATAATTATGTGTTGCAGTACGTGGTGGAGCTGCAACGGCGATTGACTGCGGCTGGAGTAGGGGAAGTGTGGCAATCCGATGGTCCTAATTTAGGCAGGAGTAGAAGTAGGAGTTTTGAGAATTCGTTCGGGAATACATCGCCAGATTATTTGCCCTTTGAATTTAGGGCGCTCGAAGTCGCTTTGGAGTCTGCTTGTGCTTTTCTCGATGCTCAGGTTTGAAAACAAGTAGTTTCAGTTACTAGTGTTCGATCTAATTGATGTCTTAATTATTTCTTTTTCTATTGGAACTGGTTCATGGTCACTTTCTCTGAACAAAGACGAAATTTTGCTCGTCTAAGTAAGGTGAAAATGCTCGATTTCAGCATCTTGAAGCCCTCGGTTTTAGATTCTGGGACCTTTGAATTACATTCAGACGTTTCAGTTTTTATTTAGATGAGATTACCATTTTCAATAAAGACGAAAAAGAAACAATTTGTTAAACAACCGGTTAAGCTGGTTTCTATGTTGTGGTGAACAAGCACTTTCTTGAAGGATTGTAGGGGTAGTCGAGTGCTCCACTGTTTAAACCACTTGGTTTCGAGTGCCAATACATGTCAGATTATGTTCCGGTGTACCAAGGAGTTTACTTTCTGAAGAGGAACACTTTTCAACCAAGGAGTTTACTTTCTAAGAGCAAAGCAAACTTCAAGTTTTCTATCCTAGAAGGACATAACCTGGCTGCATTCCATATTCTATGTTTCTCTGCATAGTTTAGATCATTGGCCTATTAAGTTTTCAAATCTTCTATGGATATACCGTTATATTAAGGAATGTATAAACTCACCACATGCAATGGAGAATACTGTATGAAATGTCCATGGAAATAGTCTAGGTTTTTTTCCCTTCTTCTGAAGATGAATTAAAAAGAAAATCCATTAACTGAAAAGAAGGAAGCAAGTACAATCTAAAGGGTGATTAGAAGTCACCCAAAAGAAACAACAAAAGACAACAAATCATAACAAAGATACAATACATCCAATCCCCCCCCCCTAAAGCAAAAATCCTTGATGAGCTTCTAGGATTCCAACTGACCACACCAAACAATCTGAAGAAGAACCTCCACATGCAGTTTGAATTGTTCCACAGCACCAATAGATAAAGCACATCTTCCTTGACATTTCCATGCAAATAGCACCTGTTAACAAACTGCAGTCCTGTTCTGTTCAAATTGTCCTGAGATTGAAGCTGGTTTCTCATCCATATCACTCTGAAACTGGTTTTGGTTTTGATCACTACATTATGGTTCATTTCAAAAAAAAAAAACAATACATTATGGTTCTCAACTTTGATGGCATATTTCTTTCTTGCAGAAGATGAGTTGTGTCACTGGCTAATCCTATACTACTTTTCATTTGTCTTACCATAGGAAGAGCAAAGAAAATCATGTTCTACATTTTTTTTAATGCTTATCATATGTGTACTATATGGATGAGAATATTATTTTTTTCTTCTTGTTATCAAGTGCAATAGCAATTCCTGGGTCCAATAATTTAAAATGGTTATTGACAGCAATGTTGTTGGGTCAGATGTCTAGCCAACCCAAGCTCAGGAACTACAGTATATCATGCATGGAACAACCTTAACTGCATCTTGTAACAAAAATAGATAGTTAGCTGCATATAATAGTGTTGAGCATATTATTGAAGTTGACTCAATTATCGGTAGACTGCAGCAGTGGTAGAGAGGAACTTAGTGCCTGTTTGGAAGGGCTTTCACACAGTGGCTTCTGACTTTGCAATGTGGGCCTCACATGGAGAGCCCAAAATCTATGTTTGGTGAAAAACCCAGAAATCCCAAATATACTTTCATTGAGCCAAGAAAGTGACTTTCCGGTGAAGCTATTTTTAGTAGCTTCTTCAAAGTGGCTCAGTGAAAGCCAGCTGAATCAAATCTGAATCCCTCCCAAACAGGTCCTTAATGCTAAAATTTTGAGAGCTAAATCAGAGAGAAGCCAGAGAAGTTGGACCATCATAACAGGAGAGTGGAGTCGGGGAAAGTGGATTATATTTTGAGACTGCTTTATTTGAAGTTAAGACAGGAGATGCTAAGTTCATTTGCAAGTAATGCCTTCTTTTTCCTTTGCATATTTGCTTTCAATGTATTCAATTCCACCAAAGACCTGTTCACTTTGTTAGAATTTCCAAAGCTAAAAGGACTGTTTAATACAATCAATATTCATTTATGTTAATCAAATAATTTTTTGCTAGGTTTGTTCTGGAAAGAAACAGAAAAAAAAAAGAATAAACAGAGGGTCCAATCCAAGCTTTGACTTCCAAATAGGTCCTTGATGGGTGTTCCATTCAGACCCCAAGCCATCTGGGATAGGACCAAAACAGAAGATGGGGAAGCTTAAGAAATCCTCAAGAAGATGTAACCAGTTTGGAGGTCACAATTTTATCTTTTTTTGGAGGTGGGGCTGTCTATTTTGTACTTGCTCTAAGCCTCTGACCGGATGAGTGTTGTTATTTGAGGTTGTTACTTGGGCTGAAATGTGATACCTTGAGTTTTTTTTTTTCCTTTTTTTTGTGTGTGGATTTGTTGGTTTGGTTGATTGCAGGATATGGGTGTTGTGGTGAGGAGTGTATTAGCTGGATAGTTGGGTTCTTGGGATTTAGTGTTTATTGTCCTGGTGGGGTGTATTTGGCGTGCAGGTCTTGTTAGGAGTTGAAGTTTGTTTTTCTTTTCTCTCTTGAGTGACTTCTGGTCACTCTCCTTGTACCTTCTTTTTTTTTTTTCTTTTAATAAATTTTATTTTATTACCCCAAAAAGCCATTTGGAGTTGGTGAGGTCGATAAGGATCATAGATGCCAAAATTTAGAGGGTCCACTCTGACTGGATTGGTCATAGAGATTCCATTAGAGCCGAGATTGGTCTCTGTTTCAGGGTTTCAAGCTCAAGCTGCTGCATTCTTTGGGTATTGACTAGTGAGCAGGTGGGGGTTGAGAGTAATTTTAAGGTTGTTATTAAGGATACAAGATGGTTTTGATGATCCACATAGTCCAAGGCTTGTTCTCTACCTAAAAATAAATAAATAAAGTTCAAGCTTGTTTCGGTGGATCCTGAGGTTGGCTGACTTAATGGTTGATAGTCTTGCTAGGGGAGGGGTGACTTATTTTGTGATACATCCCTTCCAGGCTGACAGATCAGGATCATGTTTATGTGACGTTTAAACTTTTTTATTTGCTCTTGCAGGAATTTTATAGATTATCTGTTAAGTTTTCTGGGATCAGGGTGAGGAGTATCATTTTGTAGTTCTCCTGATGAACATAACAAAACTGTATATTAATTTTTTTTGCTGATTTTTCTCCTGGTTGGGGTTTTAAATATTTTACCAGTCCTGACATCCTAGTTACTTAACCCGTCAAAAAATGGGAAGAATTTCTTTTGATCAGTAATGAAATAAATTTTATTATAATTATGAAAAGTGCATTAAGTTACAAAGTGGATAGACTTGGCTACAACATCATCAATGCTATAAATAATGAAACCCATTACAAAGCACACCCCAGAATATATTTTCTCTTGGTCCCCTGTTTTGCCAACCCATCAGCTATGCTGTTTGCCACTCTAGGAACCCAACTAGAGTTGGTATTCATCTGTCCCAAAATGCTTCTTATTTCCCCTGCAATATGTTTATAGTACCATGATCTTTCCTGCTTGGTTCTACATTTCTACTATTGTTTTCAAGTTTTTCAAATTGCATGCAACCACCTCATATTCACTTTTCATGATAAAAAGTAATGAAGTGCCCCAAATCCTTGAAGCTATTTTCTGTAACTTCTCAATGTTCTAAGAGGTGCACCTAAGCTCAGGCAAGGCTTATTTTCTTGGTTGTGGCTCATTTTGCTTGTCGCTATGCTTTGATAAATTAACCTTAAATTTTATGTTTGAATGGGGATTGAGTGTTCTTGCTATGTTTTTAGAGTTTAAACAGTTGAGCCGATGTAGAACTTGAACCTACAAGGCTACAATCCTCATGATGATAACATGACTTTAACAAGTTCTTTCCAGACTTCATAATATCAAGGTTTAAGTACCTTGTTCCATGGTTTATGACTAATATTCTTTAAAGTCAACTAAAACTAGCTAATAATTTGTTAAGAAATTCTCTTTGTATTATTAGATTATGGCCCTGTTTGATGATTAAGTACTTGTTAAAAGAAGTACTTGTGAAACAGTAAGGCTGTTTGGTAACCCACTTTTCAAATCACTTATTATGTTTTTAAGCACTTATTGGGGTGGGAATGTTTGGTAAGCTACTTTCCCCATAAGTGCTTTTATTGACACAAATGACAATTTTAGTCCTCACTTAACTCGTACGTATATACAATGGTTTTCACATGTTATACTATACATTTCAATTGACAGCCCACATGGACCCCCACGTGGGCTGCCATGTGGATCCAATTAATAATAATGATAATAATAATAATAATAATAAATAATCATAATAATAATAAAAATAATTATTATAAATAATAATTATTATAATTATAATAATAAATAATAACTAATCATCAATGGGGGAAGACGACAAAGAATAGGTCTCCAAGCTGACGCAAGACGCCGACGAGTCCGGCCATGCCTTCAAGTAGCGCTTCGGGATCATCTTTATCGGCAGCTCTGTACAGCTCCAGATCGGCGATGCTGTACTCGTTTCTTATCTGGTACCTTGTAATGGGCATTTCGTCCAAGTATCACAAACCCTAGTCTCTGAAACTGAGCCTCCACTCTAATTTCACCGCTACATTTCCACCATAAAAAGCCCCTAACAAATTTTCATTAGGGAGGGAGAGAGAACGGCAACTGGTGCGCCGACAACATTGGATTCCCATTTTTGAACAACACGGACGTTGCTCCAACTGGTAGAGGGGGAGCTGATAAATGGAAGGAGAGAGAGAAAATGATAAAGGGGATAAAAAAAAGGAAGAATAGATCAGAGGGGGGAGGTTGTCGCCGCTGCAACTGGTGCGCCACTGTTAGGGTTTGAGGTTCGAATGAATGGAGGAGGAGGTATAACCCTTGTAGGGGTATTTTAGGCATTATAAAAATTTATCAGGGACTGGTTTGTCCTATTTTTTTGTAGAAGTGCTTAAAAAAAAGCCAACTTGAAGTCACTTTTTCAAAGAAGTACTTCTTTTGAGTGTTCTCAAACACTACCTAATCCATTTTCTATATGAAATTTACCAATGTATACAAATACCAAATTAAATTAAGCTGAAAGAATTTCTTTGAGAAAGACCACTTTAGTTGCTCTATTTAAATGATTATTTTAATACCATATTGAATCATACAATATATGAATAAAAAAATGTTAAATATACAGTCAATCTCTCTTGTGTACTTTGTGTCTCCATTCATAAGAATCGAGGGAAAGAAAGGTTTTCTATACTTTCTATTTCCCCCACCTATCCACCATCATCCCAAATTCCTTACCCTTTCTACTCTTCATTCCTTAGTTTGTCTTCTAGTTTTTTTGTTCTAATAATTTGTAGGTCTCATTGTCTTTAAACAATATTAATTTTTGAAAACTGAAAGGTCACTATTTTTCTTTGATAGAGTTGAAAAAAATTCTTTTATAGTGAAATAGTTTTATTATAGGTAGCAATGTAGCATTATATGCTTATGCCTAACATGAAGATTGTAACTGCAAGTATTATGGTTGCACATAAAAAGCTATAAAACAAAATTTCTCTGGTAATTACTTATAATCAATAATCTCTAATAATTAATAACATCTATTTCTACCATGATTGTTAATTATTAGAGGGCCTACTGTCTGTGATTTCAATTATGCTTTCTAGTAGAAAATAAAGAGCTATTGATAATTAATTCATGTCAATCAGGCAGCGGAGTTGGAAATAGAAGCATATCCATTGTTAGACGAACTGACATCAAAGATCAGTACTTTAAACTTGGAACGTGCGCGTCGGTTGAAGAGTAGACTTGTTGCTTTGACTCGGAGGGTTCAGAAGGTGATTCCATATTTCATCTTCTTTCCATCTCTTCTGCTAGATGGTCCTAGTTGATCTGTCAACTTCTTTAAACCTTCCTTTGTAGGTCAGGGATGAGATAGAGCAGCTAATGGATGATGATGGAGATATGGCTGAAATGTACCTCTCAGAGAAGAAGATAAGAATGGAATCTTCTTTCTATGGTGATCAGTCTTTGATGGGATACAGCTCTACTGGGGGTGGGCTTTCTGCTTCTGCTCCAGTATCACCTGTTTCTTCACCCCCTGATGGTAGGAAGCTCGAGAAGAGCTTAAGTATTGCAAGGAGCAGGCAGGAGAGCATGAAAAGTTCGGACAGCACCACTGAGAACATAGAAGAACTGGAGATGCTGTTGGAGGCATACTTTGTGGTGATTGATAGCACTCTCAACAAGCTAACATCGGTATACACATCACTCTCAATTTATTTCTTTGTTATCTTTCATCAGAATCTTTACTTCTTTTCTAGTTTTTCTAATTCCACATTGGATGTATTACAAATTATATAATTAGTCTTATTCTCCCTTTGACTGTTTCAGCTGAAGGAGTACATTGATGACACGGAAGATTTTATCAACATTCAGCTGGTTTGTTTCTCGTCACTTGCCATGATTATAGGAGTCCGGATCTCCTGCCCACACAAACTCTGCCCACGTTTATCTCAACCACACATGGAGAACATCTCATCCTCTGCATAGTATTATGCAGGGGGAGATGTTCCCTATTCATAGGGGTAGTGTGTTGTGGGTAGACATGGGCAGGATTCTCGTGGGCAGGAGATCCGGACTCTGATTATAGTACATTCTTACCTTTTTTTCCTGCCTTTCTAGAACTTTCTAGAAACATGGAGGAAATCCTAGAGGTGTGTTTTTTTAATTAAAGATGCAATTAGAACAAGTTCTACTGTTCCATTTCCTTTAGTAGACATGGGGATTGAAGAACATCTCTACTAATGGCATGCTGTATGGTTACAAGTACTGAGCTATCAACAAGCATCCAGCATGCCAGCCTAAAAAAAATACACAATGGCAAAAAAAGAAGTTAGGAAACATGTCAGAAAAAAGTTTGGTTGTGTCCTTTCTCATGAGACCTTATCTAGGAGGGATATGTCCTAGCATTTTCTTCTTGCCCAACTTCAGTAGAGCATCACCATCATAATATTGGCAGTGTCTAAGTGTAGGAATTTGTAGGTCAGTATTTTTCAGCTATTGCAGTAGCACATTATGGTACAGTACGTCTAAAAGACTAAAACATTCAGGTAAATGAGTTTCAAGAGATTTGGGCTGTTTACTAGTTTTGATCAAAACGGGATCTGGACATTCTAGTTGTGAAGTATTCAATCTTGATGTCAATGGCAACTGGATACTATATATATCAACCTTTAACTGGAAGGCTGAACATAGGTATTTCCGTTATCTAATATGAATCTGAAAAGATTCAGGCTGATTAGCAATTTGGGTTACGAATTACAGTTTTCACTTTGTAGGTAAGCACACTTAGGTTCCTATTGGTTTCAGTTGGAGAATTAGATTTACGCTGAAGATGGCCAAAGTGCTTGTAGTTGAAAATTTTGAACGGCCCCTCTTCTGGGTTCCAGCAACACCATGCATGTGTCATGTGAACTACTGTTCTAGTTTGGCATACTTTCTTTGTTCCTGGGATTTCCTCAACAACTGAAGGCAAATAAACAAGTACTTACAGAAATTAAGGGGAGATGCCCCAAATTTCACAGTTTAAAAGGGTTTTGTTTTTGTTGCAACAGGATAATGTTCGAAATCAACTTATTCAATTTGAACTGCTGCTTACAACTGCAACATTCGTAGTTGCAATCTTTGGAGTGGTGGCAGGGGTCTTCGGGATGAACTTTGAAATATCATTGTTTGATGAGCCAGATGCTTTCAAGTGGGTTCTTGTGATTACAGGAATATGTGGGGTCATTATATTCTGTTTATTTTTATGGTTTTTCAAGTACAGAAGGCTTATGCCCCTGTAAGTGGGAGAGGAAAATGGGGGGGTTGAAGCAATTTTTAATGCTTTTTGTAGATATGAAGGGGGCGGTGGGATGATAAATTGGGAAAGCGAGAGAGATGGTAAGGGAATCTCTTCTTCAGGGCCATTTAAATTGATATTTAGATTCTGATGTATGTATAAGCGGTGCAATTTCATCGTATTCTTTCTTGTATATACTCTGTCCTTATGCTATGATCCGTGTTAACACCTAAACCATCGTAGAGTAGAGCGAATAATCAAATTTTATTGGTACTTTGATAGTGCGTTCTATGTAACATGTTAAATAATATCCTGCTTTTTTGGTAATAAAAGAATAAATAAACTGGTCAGTTGACTCAAATCCATGGTTTTAAAAGGTGCCTCAACACCTTATGCATATGGCTAGGGTCCGATCCATGGGTCAAATATTGTGGGATGTGCACCTCATATAATGGCACCAAAAATAAAAACTAAAAATATATTAATATATAATATTTTTTTTTTAAGTTTTAATAAAACTTTGTTAGGTTGGTTACAAATAAATCAAGGCAATTTAAACTCAAGAATCTCTCATTGGGGCTGCAAACAGTATACAATTGTATAAATTCAATCTCGAATTCGATCCCATTAACTTATTTGAATTCGATCTATTTATAATTAAACCTTGATAATATCTTTATTAATCCAAAGTTATCTTATTGCTTTTTTCTTGATAAATATAATAAATCTTAATATGCCACTCAATGTCTCAATGCACACATGTGAGAATATCATCTCTATTCATGTGTCTTATGACATGTGACAGTGGGGCCTATCAATCTACAAATAAAAATGTGTAACAATTTTTCTTTAAATAAGAAAATAAAAATAAATTATAAAATACTAGACAAAATTGTCAAACTGTTATTACACATTTACACATTCGGACGTTCCAACTAAGAAGCCATTTAGTTCCAAAATAACATATGATGAAAATTATTCATATGAAAAATCTATAAATTATCTTATTTTGAAAAATAGACTAGTAAAATGGTTATACATGTAAAATAAAATATAAAACAAACTTTTAAAAGCATGGGATTCATATAAAACAAATATGTGATAAAGAAGTAAATATATAAAATAACTATAAAACATAAATTGCATTCTAAAATGTATATAAAGTACAAATAAAGAATTAAAAAATATGAAAAACAGGTGTAAAGATTAAGCGATTTAGGTAGTCATAATGAAAATTAATAGTATAAAGCAAAATACAAAATTAAAGTCTAAAATATATGATTCATGTAAAAATGAACATATATTTTAAAAAATTTAAAATAAAATTAAAAAATGTAGTATTCAAATTAAAAAGAATATACATGCAACTAAAAGAAAACATAAACTATAAAAGAAATAAGTTCTACTTCAAGGTATCTCGCCTCTCCAATTCCCAACTGCCTTGTCTCTGCCTTTAGCCTTTCAAAGCATTTCTTAAATCTGCATTTTTCACTATTGAAACTCTAATTTTCCACATACAAAAAGAATAACCACATGGAAGAATTACAAAGCAAGATACCTAAACCACTACCGGTAGGGGAGAACATTTGAAATATAGGGCAAGACATTGTTATGATCAGTTGATATTTACTTTAACAATGACTGAAGAAAAAGCATGCCTGTTTGTGAGTAGGATGTCAATTGGTCAGGTTAACCGCTAAACTCGGCTTGAGGTGGGCTTAAGGTCAGGTTTATTCAAACGTATGGCCAGATTAGGGTTTTGATTCTTTAGCTCAAGTCAGGTTTGATTTTGGGTGGCCCACCCCACCAAGTCATGGCACATCTACATGGATGTAGTGAATTCTTATAATTTTCTTTGACTTCTAATTCTCTGGCTTTAAAGTTTAAGGATTCCATTCCATGTTTAGTTTGTTTTTTCTTCTTTCACTATAGAAAAAGTAACTTAGAACCTATAAAATAATTTTGAACTTAATTAATCGTTTTTAGATTTTTCAAAATGTTGATAAGAAATACATTTAAAAGTCTGCAAGTCAGGTTGGATCGGCATCGGGTTAACCCTATAGGGTTAGGTGGGTTCAGGAACTACATGTTACTTAGTCGGTCAGATTAGGATTGAGACAAACCTGAAGAACCTAATAAAAGCAACTCCACTGAAAAGCCTTTCTTTTGGGTTAAAATCATTGATGCCGTCATCGGAAAATTTAAATCTGTTATTTGCTGTTCATGTGAAAACATCATCATGGAAGACGTTCGATTACCTGAATGATCTCACAAACACACAAAAGGGTATTTTTGACATTATGTAATGTTTAACTGACGGAATATAGATGGATTTGACACATAAGTGTCTATTTTTGAAGGTTCAGGATAGTGTTGCAACCGAAAGTTCAGGGCAAGTACAGGGTACCTAGCTGAAGCACAGCATATTTGGGCTTTGTAGATTTTTCACCGAACATGGCTCATGACTTGTCCAGATGGTGCCCACCTTGCAAGGGCAAAAGCTGCCGCCTGAAAGCCCTCCCAACGCGCAACAAGTGGTGAAACTAATGACCAGGCTTCTAATTCGAACTCAGACAAGCAAATTGACATTATTTTCATCCTCTTGTCATTTGCTTTGCCAGACAAAATGGGCGGAGAATGACCTTTCATCGAGTAAGGATAATGCTTCTCAAATCTTTAGCAGTTTATGATCATTAAGACAATTGAGTTTCTCTAACTGTTCTTACTTTATGCAGGAAACCTTCCGTACAACTAACATAAAGAAATTGGTGGAAGAAACAAAGAAAACAAACTAGAAAAGAAAAGTAAAATATGCTCCAAAACTCCCAGTGAACAATAAGAAAAACTCATCCGAGAAATCCTCTCCTTAAATAGATTTCTTTTTTGTCCATCTCTCCTTTGAATAAAAGCTTTTCAAGAATCATTCAGAGGATGAGCTTGAAGATAGTCTTTCACACCTTGCTTTATCTGCTTTTTCCAAGTAATCTTGATGGGATTGATGCTTTGTTCCTGGAATAGAGAAATTATGAGTCATCTATCAGATAACCATATGAATTACGGAGATACTTGAACAATTATCAAGACCAAGGTTGTAGATGGTCTTGAATTAAAGCTTTCAAAACCTTAAAAACCAAACCAAGTATGAACAAAAATAAGCAGAAATCCAGTTTTAGATGGCTTCCATTTCAGTTTCCAAATCCTCCTATTTGTAATGACACCCTAATATGTGAGATTACATATTAATTAGGCATGTATGATCACAATGACAATACAACTAATTTTGCCTGTTTATTAGAGAAAGAGATGAGAGTTTTTCCCCTTCTTTTCTTGGAATATGAAAAAAGCACTGGTCGGCCATCTGATAAAGACAGGTTTTTGATTCAAGGATTTTGGTATTAAATATTTTTTTGATCAATAACAAGTTCATTAACAGATTTCATTAATTCAGCAAGAAGATAATTACAAAGAGGAAGACAAACACTCTTATCTTCCAAATACAACTTGAGCCCTCAAGAAGAAAAGAAAAAGGAAAGGAAAGAAAGAAACGGTAAATTACAATTTAGCCCAAAACATTGAGTTTAGCTAATCCATCAGCTAAAAAATTAGTTGATCTTTTAACCCACCTCATCTTCACTTCCATCTCCCTCACCAGCCACTTAAATTTTTTCCTCTCATTACTGTAATTCCTTAGGCCACTATTATCTTTATTCAACCACCCTATCACCACCTCCAAGTCCCCTTCAATTATGAGTTTTCTGATATTCATTTCCTTAACTTTCTGGATTCCTTCCATAACTGCAAAGATCTCAGCTCTAAGAGAGTCCCCCACTCCAATTGTGCTTGAGTACAAGGCAAAAACGACCCCATTCTCATCCCTGAAGACACCTCCAATCCCTGACTGTCCAGGGTTCCCCCTACTACTCCCATCAAAGTTTAGTTTTAAGAATCCCGCAGGTGGAGGGGGGGTCCAAGGCACACTCAATACTGATTTGATCTGTGAACAGTTTGCAATTTCACCCCACTCCCTTAACATGTCATCCATTATGTAATCTGTGAATAGCACTAAGGATTTCAGCCACTGTACAACCCTAATATAACCCTTAGTTCTTCAGCCCCTCTCTCAACTTCTGAGAAGATCCTGAAATTTCTTTCTTCCCATAGTGAGTTAGTGACCAGCATACTGCAGCCCTCAGTCCTCTCCACATAGTCCTTCCTCTTTTCACACGCCAGAGGATAAAAGAAAAGGAAATATCTACTCAAAAAGCGTAGCCATAAGTACAGGTTTTCTGTGGACCATCTGCTGATTCTGCCCAACTGTGTAGAAGATGGAATGGTCATAATCATGTATCAGGTAGCATTATTGATATGTCACTGATAAAAGAGCAATCTATCAACTAATGGCTCTGTACAAGAATATGCTAGTACTTCAATTGCCATGTCTTTGGTGCACCACAAGACAACCCACCCAAGGTGCACCTTGGTTGATCTGTGAAAAATAGGTAGCATATGGCATCACTTCTGAATCATATCCAGAAGGAAAGGAAAAAGTTCAATACAAATTCAGGAAGCTTTACATGGCTATCCATCATAGCTACTTAATGGTGATACTCAAAGTTTTCATATACCTCTGTGCTCTGTGTATCAGCAGAGGTGTATTGGTACTTTAACTGATATTATTTCTTTTAGTTTTTTTTTTTTTCAAATTTCAGTTTTAAATGTAATTATATATATATATATATTATTTAATAAAAAGAGTTCAAAAAAACACGTATAAACAGGTGTATCAGAACCCAAAGATATGAAACAATGCATCTCGTATTGTGTTGATACTCTAAACCTTGGTGATACTTAAACTTTTCAGTGGGTTGGCAATGGTAGATTGTTTACTAGAATTCCTTGGTCTGTGATGGTTCACATACTCAAGGATGAAATACTTCTACTAATCAGGCTCTTCAGATGCACAACAACAGGGTTTTTCAAGAACTGAATAAGATAAAATGAAGGTAACTGGAAGTTGCAATCTGCTCATGCCAAAACCAGTCCTCCAGTGAAAACAACTAGCTTCATAAATAGCTGCCAATGTTATCTGCAAACAAGAAAGTAAGAAACATTTTGGAAGTAGAGATTTATAGTGTTTCTAAGATTGCTTATGTATATAAACTCTCTCTTTCTATCACACTGAAGCTCAAATCTCAATATCTTACAACTGATGTAGAAGTCGATTAGCATAGAAAACGAGCTGCTTTTCATATACTTTGGCATCTCTTTTGGGTGTTTCTAATTAGTAAAAATTTGTTGTTCCAGATAAAGGATTTGAACAGGGACATAAGTACATTCCAACAATCTTACTGAAATATCAAAATAGGATTACTCTACTACCATTAACCGGCTTCCTATCAATATTTCTTCTGGACCAACTACTATATGGAGATGGAGATGGACACTATTAAGGATCTCTATACAAATACAACGCCCAAATTAGCATCCCCTCCTCACAAACATGGCTATAGAAGCAACTGATAAAGCACCTCCCCCATTGCAGAATCAAGAGAGGATATGACGAAGGAAAAGGTGCAAGAGCATCATCCAAATGATTCTTCGACCAATCTAGCTCCTTGTCAGACAATTACTTAAGCTATAAAGGCGTAAATCGTAATGCTGCAACTCTAATTTCAGAAAACCATAAAACTCCTTTCATTACGTAACTAAATTTTCTCTAATTTCAGAAAACCATAAACTCCTTTCATTACGTAACTAAATTTTCTCTAATTTCAAAAAACCATAAAACTCCTTTCATTACGTAACTAAATTTTTGCAAGCTTATACCTAAAACAAAAAACTTGTTGCTACCCAGAAGTCCTAAACCCTCAAAATCCATTAGTTCTCAAAATTCCCCAGTATGCCCAATACTAGAGATACACCCATTAAAGATTAAAACCAGTTTTCACTGTTGGGAGCTGAGAAAAAAAAAAGGAAATCCATCACGATAATTAATCATATCATATCCACTGAAGAAAACAGACAATTCCTACTACCTTGCATCAATTCAATTTTCGATCTTTCTATTTCCTCATTTTTCTACTTTTATTTTGATCAAGAAATTGAGAAAACAAAATGAAGAACAGAGCAAAAGAGACGAAGAAAGAGTGAGGCTAAGTACCTCGGTTCCTGAGAAACCATGGCACACCGAAGGCGACGCTTATGATGGCAATACCAACGAGGACGTGCTTCTTGTCTCCACTGTAGAGATAGTAGTCCATCCGGGATCTGAACCCTCCTCCTCCAGCTCCATTGCTGCAGTTCTCAGTCCCCATTTTTGTTCGTCCACCAAAACACTGGTTTCTCCGATGTTCAACTCGTTTAGCCCCGTTTACCAGTTTACCGGTTAGGGCTAGTCGGTTGACCTTTTGGGAAAGGGCTAATTTCTTAAAACTACCCTTATCATTTAATTGACAAATTCTATCCTTAATGTTACTCTTAAATTACCTCTACTATTTTTAACAATTCTATCCTTAATGTCCCTTAGGGCTAGTCCGTCACATAATTGCATGTTACAGCGCGTAATTGATATTTTTCAAAAATCCTTAATATATCTTTTTTTGGGCAAGGTGAAGCTGGACTCTGATTTCTATTAAAGGCACAAATCGGTTCTGTTGTTGAATCAACACGCATCAACACCGATGAAAGGGGAGCTCTGTCAACCAACTATTAGTAGGTAAAAATTTCATCAAATCAAAGGCCGAATCAACGGCAGAAGCATGGGTTTGAGGTAAATGAAGCAATACACAACTCAACAAGAAGTTGCGAGTGCATTTGAACGATTTCGAACATATTCAAATATTGAATGACATTTGTTCAAAGAAATACCTGAATAGTCCCTCGCACACTCAGCCCCCCAGCCCACTTGGCCCCCTCGCATGCCCAGCCCCCCCAGACCGGATCTCCTCCTCACATCTGACGCTTCACACATATATCTTATTATACATTGGAAATATTTTCCATATTTATTTGTTATTATTTACGGAAGATGTTTCCAATGCATGGTGGATGTGTATGTGAACCGCCCATTTGTGAGGAGCAGATACCTTCCCCAACCCACCCACCACCCTTGCACGCTCAACCCCACATCCCGCCTAGCCCTCTCGCATGCTCAGCCCCACATCCTGCCTAGTCCCCTTATATGCCCAACCCCCTTGCACAATCAACCCCCCAGCCACCATGAAGGATTTGTGCCCATGCGGAGAGTGGGTAACAATTGTAGCTAGGCATGGAAAGACTGAGAATGTTGGTTACGAGTTTTATGCTTGTTGCTTTTACGTAAGTTGGATGTTATGTACGAGTTTGTCATTCAGTAACATGGGGAGAAAAATTACTAATTAACCGACATATGGTTATTGTAGTTTGACTCCAATGGAAGATGTAACTTTTTCTTGTGGAAGGATGAAACAAGGATTTGCCCATATAGAAGTGGGGTCCGTAGAGCTTTTACTTCCAAATAGCCTGGTACACAAGCGAAGCGGTTCTGAGTTTGTGCAAAGCCTCAAGTAAGTAAAATTTGTTAATTGACTTTGGTCCTTCATCAAATTAAGCTGAATGCCACTTTATTTTTTTTAGGATGTTGGTGGGTGTAATTTCTTCTCATGGGTACCTTTAAAGGATAACGTCCATTAGAAAGTGGGGAGCGTAACCATCAAAGGGGATGGGTCAAGGCCTTCTGGAAGCACGAAAAGTTCATCTAAAGATGCACTAGACGAAGTTAAAGCAGTTGTCTAATCAGAGAAGGATAATTTAGACTAAATGCCTGACTTCTATGATAAATTATAAGTGATTAACAATTTACGCATCAAAGATGTATAATTTTTTGCCACAATTGCACACACTTTTTAAAAAAAAATGAACAAACACGAAGGATGTATTTATGAATTTGTGTCAACTCTTATTTTACTTTAGTAGAATGCAACTGTTGTTTTAAAATCTTGTTTTACTTTTGTCGATCCAAGGCTGGATGTTATAAGAAAACTCAAAGCAAGTCTGTTTTGCCCCAAGAAATATTATCCCAAGTCAGATCCCTCTTGACTAGAAATTGGCTTTTGAAGATACAAGGTGAAACTAAGTTAATTTCTTTGCTCTCTAATCATGTTAGTACAAGGTTTGCGGGAATTGTCCCTGAACAACTATTTTAGAAGTCATGAAAGTTCTCAACTGAAACTGCCAAGGGTTGAGATCTCCCCTCACAGTTCATGCAATGAAGGAGATCCTAAGAAGTTGCAAACCCGAAATTGTCTTCTTTCGTGAAACCAAGTGCAACCTAATTAATTGTAGGAAAAAAACTCAAGAACTTGAGGAATTGGCATTTTGGGGGGGTGAACCCGATAGGGCTTGTAGGTGGTCTGGCTTTATTCTAGGAAGAAAATGCAAAGCTACAATTTGTGTTTGCAGACAAGAAACAGAATCATACAAAAAATGAAAATACCAAATATGGGTTTTATTGGTGGTGTTCCTTCATCTATGGGGAACTAGAAAAAAGCAATAAAATTCTATTTTTCAATAATTTAAATCAAATTACAAGTATAGTCCAAAACCCTTGGTATTGTATGGGTGCTTTTAACTTGATCTTCAATTTCGATGATAAAGTGGGTGGTAGACCTATCAGAATATATATAGGAACCTCTTGATAAGTTGGGGTATGGAAGAAATTCAAAATTGTGGCCGAAAATACACTTGATCAAATAAAAGAGACAATGTGGGAAACATCAAAGCAAAATTGGATAGAGGCATGTGCACTTTGTTATGGAAAGAGAAGTTCCCAGAGGCAAAAACTTTGGTTGTCCCATCTTATGGTTCATACCATCTTCCTATTTATCTAGATACAAATCAATAAACCTCAAATTTAAAAAGCCTTTCATATTTGAAGAAATATGATTATCCCATGGAAAGTGCAGTAAGATTGTTAAGGAAAATTGGTTGAACCCTCAAGATCATACCTAAATGCCCTCAACTGTTAAAAAATGCAAAAGGTTAAGTAGATCCTTAATGAAATGAAACAAAGAAGAGTTTGGACAAATCCAATAATGAATAGGAAAATCAAGTCTGATCTAACAATGGAACAAGCAAAGCATGGATCAAACTATAATCACTAGAAAGTAGAAAAGCTAGAGAGTGAAAGCTAGACACCTTGGTAAAAAGAGAAGAGATCATTTGGGCCCAAAAATCTAGAATAAATTGGTTAATCTGTGGAAATAGGAATACAAGATTTTTCCATAATTTCACAGTCAAAAGGAAAACAAAAAATAGAGTGGTCAAAATTAAAAATGATGAGGGTACCTGGATTGAAGGCAAGATTGGGTAAAAAATACCTGTGTGAATTATTTTCAAAATATTTATTCTTCCTCCTTTCACTTAGACATTGATTTGGCTTTGGATAACTTGACCCATGTAGTTGATGAAAATTCAATTGAGGATCTACAAAAGAAGAGGAAATCAAAGAAGCCCTGTTCTAGATGCCACCCAAACAAACTTTGAGTCCTGATGGTTTCCCAAATTTCTTTTTTTTTCAAAAGTGCTAGGATGTGGTCAAAGATGATGTGATTAATGAAATTAAATGCTTTTTCAGGGAGGGCTACTTAAATAGGGATCTAAACAACACTTTCATAACTCTCACCCCTAAGATTAAAACCCTGAAGAGGCTTCAACAATCGGGGAAAAGTAATATCTTTCAAATTGCAAATATCTCTATAGCCCTTTGGGAAATTTGGAAAGATAGAAACACCTTTTATTTTGAAGATAATGATGTAAATCCCTATATTGTTTTAAATGCAATTCATAGGTCAATAATGGAGAAATCTCAAATCTTGCAACAAAAATTGGAAAGCTCTTCAAAGGCTAAGAGGAAGGTGAATCAAACTTTTTGGTGTCCTCCTGAACCAAGCTAGCTAAAGATCAATGTGGATGAAGGTTTCTTAAATAAGGAAAATGCTTCCTTTGGTTTTATGGTTTGTGATGCTAATAAGTTCTGTTGGTGAGCCGGTTTTGGGCGGTCTTCAATGATCTCTCCACTCATGGCTAGGAAAGTCTCTTTTGGAAGCTGTTCTTTTTCTAGCTAAGAATGACTTATGCATGGTGGTTTTTGAATCAGACTGTTATATTTTAATGGACAGCATTTTGGGTTCTTCTTGTTCTACTTTAAATGATTTGTTGTTTTCGTGTGAAGACATCAAGGCTCTTTCTGTTGGAAAAAAATTCAGATTTGCTAAATATCTAAGGGAAGCAAACAATGCAGCCCATGCTGCAACAAAGTGTGGTCTTAGTAATCAGTTCAAATCTAACTTAGCAGTCCCTCTTTGTCTTTCTTCTCTGTTAGTCTCAGATATGTCAGTTAATAGTTAATTCTATTTTTTTATTCTCTTTGTTTATGTTTCTATTTCCTGTTGTTTCTGTGCCAGTTGACTTGTTTTAATGAAATCATGTTTTTTTCTACCAAAAAAAAAGTATCCCATGTTGTATTTGTATGTAGTGAGATATTTATACCTTAAGTATTCCATATTGGTTTTCTTCTTCAGTATTCACTCCATTTGGATTGGTTTATACGCTAATCAATCTTCCTTTCAACTTCTCATTCCAAGTTAGGAAATATATGGTGTAGGGAGATGCAACTCTCTCTCTCTCTCTCTCTTAATTTTCTTTCTATGCAAATTAAGATCTTATCACTAAACTCCACTTATCTTAATTCAAACCACTTCATAATTTCTTACTCCTCCATTTTGAACCATGTTTTGTTACAAAATGAGTTTCTTCCATCTTTAATTAGTCTAATTAGTAGACCAAATCACCAATAGTTAACCTAGAATATTCACTAAATCCTCATGATACAAAAGTTAACCTGGAATGTTGATTATCACTCATTAGTTAGCATACAACTCTAAATGGGTAAACCACTAGTATGCACTCAAAATTAACCTGGAATGCTAGTTATAGATCTGTTTACTCTTGTTAAGTGTATGATACCAAGGGCTTAAGTTTTATTGGTCAAAAAGGTGAGAGGAAAGTAGGACTTTACCACTAGACATATTAAAAGAACTTTTCAGGCCCAAGCCCGAGCCTGGCCCGGCCATCAGGCCTACAACTTAGGCCTGAGCTCAGCCCTCATAAAAGGCCCAACCTAAAACACAACATTATGACAGAAATACAGAATACAGAGAGAGAGAGAGAGAGGAAGATAATGAGAGAGAGAGGACCTATCTACAACTACCTAAGATCGCCAATTGCCGCCACTACTTGCCGAAGAATGCCAAAAATAATGACAACTAGTTCGCTGCTAGCCTGTTACCTGAGTTCGTCGAAGAAGGCCAAAAAGAATGGCTGCCAGTCTGTCGCCTGCCATTGCTAGCCTGTCATTGACTTGCCATCACCGAAGATTGTTGGTTTGTTGAATTGTTGGTGCCG